GGCAATATGTTCATCGCTGTAATTCATGGCAAATTATTATTATTTAAAGCATTTCCGAAATGACACTTTTGCACTATTTTCAGGATTCAAATCTTTCTTCCTATGATTCCTTTAAACTGGTAGAACAACGTATACCTTAAAATCGTTAATCAGCTTACCGGAAGGTGCAAAGCATTTGGCAGTTAATTCAAAGGAATAAACCAAGAATACCTGTAGTAAAGTTGCCTTCTTCAGGTGAATGTGCGTCTGCAGCAATTTAAGCCCCGATTTCCAATTCTCTGAAAATTAAACGTGTTACTAGAAGAGATACCTAGAACAGCGATTCTTTAATTACCTGTCGCTTCAAGCTTCTCTCCGTCTTTCGGCTTGACTGCTGGGTCTTCATCGAGTCCTTCATAAAGAGACATGTTGCCGCAAACCGGATAAGGAACTCATAGAAAGAAGTCAACGACAAATTTTATTTCCATCCAAGACGCCAGGACTAAAAAAAACAAACTTTGCATTGCAATGCCAACATTTTAACGAATTCAAGATCTTCTTATGAGGCATTATAACTTACCTCCAGGAATACAAGTAGTGCTACCAACAGTCATACGAAAGAGATTACAGAGGCAACCGAAGAAACAGTCTACAGTAAGTAACTAATGGATGAATAAGTATTAATAATTTAGTACAGTAATCTGGCACTTGAAAGACGCTGTCTCATAGCGGACGCGCGGTAAGGTGGCATGACGTACAAGGTCTCGTTAAACTTTGACAGTGTAATGATTCAGTATTTACGGTGTTTGTTTATAGAAGCTGTAAATAATCCTGTATCTATTCTTCAAATCTTCCATTAAGCACTGGCTCAGTATCGTTCTGCTGTTTTGTCCATGAACCATGTCGATTAGTCAGGGTAGGGAATATTGGAGAAGATAAAAATAATTTCGTGTTTATGAATTTAGATTAGCAAAAATAGGGTTAAAAATTTTTCTTCGGAGCTTCTAGTTAAACGGAACTCTTGACAAATGATTCGGCCCTAAGGCATAAGGAGCTCGGCTATTTTATCGTGCTTGCCCGTGAGCCTTGAGTTCAGTAACATGTTTGTTCATATATTCGGCTATTCTGCCTTTCGTTTGACGTATTACCGGTTATTTTTTTTGAATTTCGTTTTATCATTCCTGTCGAAAGAAGACAAATCTAGTTTCTCGCTTGGCGCTGTTTTAAATCATCAATCTCGCCGTTTCAATGAACGGAACGTTCTGGTTAGTGATATTCACAGCATTAGCAGGTTTTAGAAACTTTTCCTAAAACGATTCAGTTGCTGCATAGTAGAAGAAACAATTTCTCTCCAAAGGCTATCAAGTTTCTTCTTTGTCCATCCATGTTGCACACTTTCTTCTTAATGGCCATCTGTCATGTTTGTATTTCCACATAAAATGCTTGCAATTTGGGGTAAATGGTTAACCAGTGTGTTGCGCCATGTTCAATTAGTTCGCCAAGCAGAACCAACCTCCTTGCTTTAATCTTCACCCTAACTTACGAAGGAGATAGTTCATCGAATTGCAAAAACGATAAATGCAGCCTGTTATCGGGACCAATCGAGCTGACCTACCACCTTTTATACGTAGGCTAAGTGAAAATGGCAAATAAGCAGCTGGAAACTCATTTTCTATATGGGACCATTTCCGCCCCGTACGGTATTCTATCAGAGGTCAGATTTACCGTTCTTCCGTAGCCAGATAAAAAATAAAGCTGTTTATTATTTCCTTTACCAGGAAGAACTGTATGCATGTTTTTCTTTTTATGCCACATCTGTTCACATATGTGAAAGGACCCTTCTGTGATGAAAGCAGTTGTGGTGGTTCAAGCATATAAACCTGATTGATTGAACTGAGTTCGTCTCCAGTCGGAAGAGTAATCATTCGTTTCAACGGTACCAGGAGGATTCAGCGACATAAAAAGCACACGTTCATTCGCCATTAAAGAATTTTTCAATGCTCTGCTCGCCAAATTGTTCATTTTGCCTTTTTGATCTGTTTTCTGAGAAACAATGTCAAAAGGTTTGTTATCTGCCCGATGTTCGTGAGGATTGTATCACACCGAAATGAACGGTAAATAAATCTTTTTTCCATCATCCTCCCATGTCACACTTTGCTTTAGCAAGTATTTGTACTGTAAAAGTCTTGTTCAGTCAATGATTTAGATCAGTTCAAGGGGCGAAACGAAAAGAGAATGAAGTTTACAACCATTGAAATGTCGGATTCCTTTTCACTTTTCGATGGGTCCATTCAGGCGATATCCTTTTCATTAAGTCACTGATGGGACCCTAATCTTCATTTCTAAGCCATCAACTACCTGTGTCTTATTTTAATGGCATAGTCAGCAGTAACTACACAGCAAAAAAGCGTGAATTCACCTGATTTACAGAATAGAATTGATTTATCATTCTGTTAAGGAAAGTAATTGACCCGATCAGATGCGGAACTGTTCTGAGTCAGACGCCCCATCCACTAAGCAACATCTGTCGCAAATCGTCGCAATTCGCGAAACTGAACAACATAAGATCCAAAATTACTTTCTGTCATTATGCATTACATGAATGACTAAATCTCAGGAAGAAGAATAAATGTTAAAAATTGCACAATCATGTATCGTGTATAACGAATTTTCATCGTAATTTTTGTGGGCTTCTTTTGGGCACACACTTCTCAGAATTTAGCAATCCAGGAACACTTAAAAAACACGAGTTATATATATATATTACTGGTGCCGTGCTTGTTTATTGGCTTTGATTGGCCGCCTGATGTTTGCGGTCCATGTGTCG